CATCTTGCCAATGCTCTACAAATCAACAAAGTAACCATGATACTTGTCCTTCTTCGTCTTCATTCCACTTTATCATTCACACAGACACTCACCACACTCCGCCTCGGTTGGAATGATATCGGCCATGATGCCAAGAAACAACTTCGAAAAATATGCGAAAAAAATATAGAGCTGAAAATAATTTATTGATGAAGATCATTATTAACGATAGCAACCATAAATAAGAATGCTTGTACTTGCAATGTATATAATATTTTTTTTATCGATATAGCAAATATATTTGATATCTTGTAGCAATTGAAGTTTTTTTCTTGTGACGTCCATAGTTAGTACAGAGTATAGTACTGTAGCGATTGTTGAAAGTGTAGTAAGGAAAGCTCTTGAGGGTGTGGGTGTGGTTTTAAATACGGAGTTAATCACTAATTTTTACACCTTCAGTTTTGTCAAAATCTTTTTTATCAGTCACCTTATTGATTCGGTAAAGAAATCACTAACGAATAATTCATCAGGAATATTATATACTAAGTTTTAATCTGTAACTTTGACTAATAATTTCTATCTATTGAAATAAATAGACTGAATCAGATAGATTTTCGTCATACGTCATCCTTGCTATAATATTCGAAATATATCGGATATGGCCCCCGATATTCCATGCATTTGGCTTCATAAATATTAATATCGACATCGTAAATGTACTAAAAATGCTTCTAGCTTCGTTCACACTATATAAATACTCATACAATACTTTTGACATAGGAATTGCTAATACGCATCATTCCATCGGAAACTAATTCTATGAATTATATCGGTACGTTGACAGAATTTTTATCGACACAATAGGGTGTGTGAGTGCGGCTGTTATTCATCGAGCATGTTCACATAGAGATCGTATATTAACTGAAACTTTAATTGAATGCGGTGCAGATGTTAATCATAAAGATTAGAATAGATCGATAAATAATAAAGAAAGTACTTAAATTGTTTTCTCAACTTTTCAATTGATGTTTTACTTTCAAATAGACTTCTGTGACACTAATTTAAAGTCTTGTAATAAGATACAGCAAGATCCGTATCTCTAGAAGATGGAATGAAATCTACATATAGCTATGTAAATTAAAAAATAGATCGATACTAGCACTTGTAGCAAGACAATAGTTTCAAACACCGAATCTTAATGATGAAGTGGTACCTACAAAGAAGTCAGTCGAAATGATCGATTAGTAATCGAATAGACTCGACGTCAATCGGATAAAAAACCTTCGATCGATCCTCAACCACCATCTCGATAAGCAGGAATCATTATATTTCGATGATCCAAAGAGAGTTTTATGTAAGAAATAGAACAATATCGACTTGCTCGTTCTAAATAATTTGATGAAGTCGATGAAAGCACGATATTTAGCTATTAATTGTGATAGTTTTGTATCTTGTACCATGCATCATATGGTATAAAATTCATATATCGTGCTTGAACTTAGTTTTATCAACCTTGTTATAGTATAAGTATGGAATTGACTGACAAAAACTCATTCATATTCTGCTTTACTTTGTATTAGTATATTCAGTAGTAATTAAATACTGCGAAATCATTGTAACACATCTCATGAAACAATATAGCTCTTAGTCTGAATCCGAGATCAAACGGTTATAAAAGATTATTCATCAAAAAATTCAAATAAAAATTATAATTCATCGTATCTTCAATATCTCAATTCATTAATACATCGTGAATAAATGACTATTCTTTTCATTTGTTTTTCATTAATTATAGATCCTAATTGATTGATTCAATTTGATCATGTGTTAGCTACATATTGACATGGAAATCGCAGTTTTCCTAACTCTTTCCTCATCATGCGAAGCCTCGTTTAACACTATTACAATACACTTCAATTTAATGTAAATTATTCTTCTTTTATTACAGTGACCACTCTCGTAAAGAATAAGAGATATAAATATGTCTTAAAAGGTCATTTATACACATACATATGTATATGTATTCCTTTATCAATCGGCTTTGTCTAGTACCATTTTATTATTTACGGAGTTGCTCTCTATCGCGTGCGTGAGACACTAGAGAATAGAATTAATTCAAAAATAAGTGAACTAAATATTCTTTTGTTTATTTATCAACTATTATTTATAATTTCTTTTTGACATTTTCAATATTGTTCTTCACAATTTTTATATGAGGATGAGTTGAAGGTAATGCACGCTGGAATATGTCTAGAGCACGTTCAAAATATGAAAGCGCTTTCGAATAGTCTCTCATATTGTCATACATCATACCGATGTTATTGTATGACGGCGCCAAATCAGGATGATTTGAAGGAAGCGTTTTTTCTCGAATTTCAAGTGCTTTTTCGTGAAATGAAAGTGCTTTCGAGTACTCTCCCATGATGTCATACACCAAAGCAATGCTGTTGTATGCAGTAGCCAGATAAAGATGATTTGAAGGAAGAGATTTTTGACAGATTTCAAGTGCTTTCTCATGACATAAAAGCGCTTTCGAGTGCTCCTTCATCTGGCGATACACACTACCGATGCAGCTGTATGATAAAACTAAAGAAGGACGATTTGAAGGAAGAGTTTTTTGAAAGATTTCAAGTGCTTTTTCGTGAAATGAAAGTGCTTTCGCGTACTCTCCCATGATGTCATACACCAAACCAATGTTGTTGTATGCAGTAGCCAAATCAGGATGATCTGAATGAAGGGTTTTTTGTCGAATTCCAAGTGCTTCTTCCATAGATGAAAGTGCCTTCAAGTATTCTCCCATCTCCTTATATACATTACCAATGTTAATGTATGAAGTAGCGAGATCAGGATGATTTGAAGAAAGAGCTTTTTGAAAGATTTCAAGTGCTTTTTCGTAAAGTGAAAGTGCTTTCGGGTACTCTCCCATGATGGCATACACCAAACCAATGTTGTTGTATGAAGTAGCCAATAAAGGATGATCTGATGGAAGAGTTTTTTGTTTAATTTCAATCGCTTTTTCGTAAAATGAAAGTGCTTTCGGGTACTCTCCCATGCTGTTATACACATTACCGATGTTGTTATATGAAGTAGCGAGATCAGGATGGTTTGAAGCAAGAGTTTTTTGAAAGATTTCAAGTACTTTTTCGTAAAATGAAAGTGCTTTGGAGTACTCTCCCATGCTGTTATACACATTACCGATGGAGCAGTATGAAGTAGCCAAATCAGGATGATCTGGAGGAAGAGTTTTTTGACAAATTTCAAGTGCTTCTTCCAGAGATGAAAGTGCTTTGGAGTACTCTCCCATGCTGCAATATAGATGGCCGATGTTGTTGTATGACTGTGCCAAATCAGGATGATTTGAAGGAAGTGTATTTTGTCGAAATTTAAGTGCTTTTTCGTAATATGAAAGTGTTTTCAAGTACTCTCCCATCTGGTGATACACCAAGCCGATGCTGTTATATGAGCATGCCAAATCGGGATGATTTGGAGGAAGAGTTTTTTCTCGAATTTCAAGTGCCTTTTCGAAAAATGAAAGTGCTTTTGAGTACTTTCCTATGCAGTGATACACCAAGCCGATGTTGTTATATGAGTGTGCCAAATCAGGATGATTTGAAGGGAGAGTGTTTTGTCGGATGTCAATTGCTTTTTCGTTATAACAAATAGCCTTTTCATAATCACCCTGCTTATCTTTGGCATATCCAAGCTGACTATAATAAAGAGCTTTTTTGTCCACCTCAGATGTCTGTTCGAGTAATATATTATAAAGTTCCTCAGCTTTATTAAACTGACCAATTGTAAGCAATAAGTCACCCAATCTCTCCCATCCAGTACCAGCACTAGCTCCTTCTCGTATCTGATCAGTAAGTAATCGCAGTTGTTGATCATCGCCAGACGTTAATTGTAATTCAACTCGATAAAGTTGATTCTCACTATCTGTTTGTTTAATTGCACCCACTCGAAAGACGGTGTGCATGGAGAAGAGAATTTCTTTTTCTGTCTTAAAAAAACTATCTTCTTTGATGGAAGCAAATGGTGTTGATTTTAAACAAGGATCAATGGACATTATAAAGAGAATGCCCACCGTATCTGGTTTTGTCGAAGCACACAAAGCATATTCGAGGGACACTTGTTTATCTTTACTGGTGGACAAGAAGTTGTTAAATGACATTAGACCACCTTTTGTTTCCTGAAGTTTGTCAAAGTCTGATTTCATAAGACCTTGTCCACGGTAAACTAAAAATGGTTTGCTATGGTAACTATTAACCTGTTGTTGGTACAGTTGTCGGATCTGTTGGTGAAGATCATGAATAAAAAAGCCCATATTAATAATGGTATCACCTTCCATGAAGCGAAGACCATCGTTGAGCATAGAACAAATAAATGATGGGTAAGTATACCACCAAATAGCTGATTTCGCTTGGTATTGTTTTTCAAATAGATTAATATTGATTGGTGATCCAGAATTGTTCTGTCGACAGAAAGTAATAAAGTCCTTAATAGACTGCTGATCATATTTCAGATCAAGAAGAATTTCCTTAAAAAGCTGAGTATACATAAAAGTTGGTTCCAACTGATTTAAATTATCGGCTGAAGCCATTTCATTTACCGTAATAAAACTCATGGCTATTGAGTCTTGATTGTGTTGCTTTACATCTACTTGTAATTCTTGACATATGTCATCAATGTTATTATGAACGCTCTTGATTTTTTGCCATTTTTTTGTCCATTCGTCACATAGGGTTTCAGTATTGTTGAAGATATAGATACTATCCAACTGAGGAATATCATTGATGAGAGGTATTATTTGTTGAGACATATTATCCTTAGCTACGAGAAAAAAATTGATTTCTTCTTGAGCATCCGTGAGAAAGTCAATGCATGCATCTCGTTGTGTAAAGACATTGACAGCACTAGTAATAGTTCGTATTTTTTTTAATGCATTTTCATAATCTTCGTTTGTTTGGTCGTTGTGGGGATCTAACAATAGAAAAAGATAGTTTTGTGCCATACGTTGTCGTGGTTGACGAATATTGGATGATGCCGTTGATTTAAATGATACAGCAGCATGCTTATTTGATACTGATCCACTCATTCCGGTCTTGTTGTAATTTGTGGTCGAAGTTGAACTTATTAGTAGATATTGATGCTTAAATTAAAAAAATCACTGTTCTTTTTTATATAGACAGTGATTGATTTTTTTCTCAGTGTTTTGACAACTTCGGATGCGCGTGTTTTTTCTTGTCACTCAAGGACACACTTCACCTGGTTACTTTTGAAAATAATATTACGAAAAGGAAGAAACAGTTAGAATGAAACAGATTCATCGATGCGAAACCAGCAAGACGGCCAGTTATATTTCCAACACGGTTGATCAATCCGAAAAAAAGCACAAAATACCTATTCAGATCCATAAAATACCCAATACTCTCTTTATTCACTATTTCTAATTCTCGTTCGAGAAACCGTAAAACGTATCAGATCTGACCCAAAGATGGTCTCAAAAGTTCAGAAAAAGTTCGGAATCTTCACGTTTCTCCGGCATATTCCTGGCTTCCGAATTTCTTCTGGATTACAGTCTTTTTTTTATTCCAATTACATTTCACTCATTTTTATTATCCTAAAGAGTTATTAATCATTCGGTAGGTACATGTTTAGTATTTTCTTTTATTGGTGTCCCTGAAGGAGTGACTGAGCAATCCATTACCGGACAGTTCGTCGGTGACTTTTTCAGTCAATTGTTGGAGTATGAAAATTGAAATAATAGATAAAATGTTATTTTTCATCTGATTTCTTTTTTGATCTTGATTAAAATAAAACATAACTGACGGAATTTTTCTAATAAAATATCTGATAATATAATCAATATGCTATTGATATATAGTAAATATATAAACGGCTATTAAAAAGAATGACTTTCTTAAATTATTTTCTCAGAAATTATAATAAACGTATTTTCAACTGCAAAAGGGAATCTATTTGCCACGTTTCATCTATTCTACTAACAGATTTAATGATATTTCAAAATATTTTATCTTAAACTCCTCATGATACAAATATTTTTTTAATGGGTAAAAAAGTTTTAAACGATTAATTAATATACTATATAGTAGTGATGGTCTGTTCATTAGTTCTACAATATTTTCTAATTTTGGTTTCTTTTGAGAGTACAAGTATAAATATTCTATTCAGTCAAAATCCGTACCTTTGAAATCAGTAAACATTCAAATTAATCTTTGGTCTTACATAAAGACATTTGCATTTATTTAATTCATCAATAAACAATAATAAGATATACATACAATTCTTAATAAAAAAAAAGGCCGAACTGTTGAATTCAAGTGGACGGATATTACATTGAAACAAAAAACCGGCAATGAATACAAAAGAACAAATCAAGATTACACCTGAGACAAAACAAATCGACATATAACTAATAAACTATCAAGAAGAAGAAGAAGAAGCAATTCAATGAATAAGAATCTATCAGAAAAGAAAAAATATATAATTGTATTCATACAAGTACAAAACAAACAATGAGAAGTCAAAGACAAGTATACTATGAATTATTTTCATGTTTTTTTATTTTGTTGTTGTGATTGTTGTTGTTAGAGAATAATTTTAAACCACTACGTACAAATTTTTTAATTCCACTAGGTTGTGTTGGAGTTTGTTGTGGATTTTGTGGCCACGTTAATTCTTCCTCCTCATTTTCTTCTTGTTGCTCATTTATAATTGTTCGTGCTGTTGCATAGTATGTTGTTGATAATGAACTATCAAGAACTTTAGTTTTTGAACGATTATGACCTGGTAATGAATTTGTTTTTTGTTCAAATTGTCGTGCTAATGCTCGAACATTTGGTTGTTGTTGTTGTTGTTGGTCATCATTTTCACCTGAAACTATTGTATCAGCATCTTCTTCATCTGCATCATCTAAATCAGTTTTTTGTTGATCATCATGACGTTGCATAGCTGCCATTAAATCATCTTCACTTCGATACATTTTTGTATTAAAATTTTTATTTGTTGAATATGGAGATTTATGTGTACGTGTTAAAAGAACAGTTGGTGTTGATGAATTTTGACTAGCTAAGTATGTTGTCGATGCTGATTTTGGACGACGATCATCATCAAGTGTGGATTGACAATGTGGTGCTAATGGTGCAGTTTGTTTCGATGCTGTTGGAGTGATATATAAACATTCGATTGATTTTCGTAATGGTGTATGATTATTGTCAGAAAATTTTGATTTAGATAAATTAGTTGAACTGTTAGAATCATAAATAATTGAACGGCGTTGAGGAGTTGTTAAAGATGAAGTTGATGATACAGTTGAATAGATTGATGAAGATGTAGATGATGATGTACTTAAAGCATTTAAACAATCTTGAGCCATCTGAGATAGAAGACGATCAAGTTCGAATACATGCATATCAATAGTGGTATCAGGTCTAGATTTCAAATGAAAAAATCAATAGATTTTGAATATGAAAAAAATTTAACTTACACTCCTTGACTTCTCATAGCAAAGGTCATTTTTTCAAATAATTCACGACGGATTTCTTTAATCATTGAATTACGACTTCTTACTAATTCATTTTGCATCTGTTTTTTTACTGAAGTTTCCAGATTGTCCATATAATGAGCTATTCCCACTTGAAGAGAAAAAAAACAAAATATAGATTAATTAATATTGTCATTATATATAACATTCAAACAGCATGCATTAGAAATGTACGAATATAGGATTTTTCTTTAATATAATGTCTCTCATTCATTCGTTCATTCTACACTTCAGCGTACAAAATGAAGAATCCTTACTATCGATATATTCTAAGAGTATCCGGTTAAAGAAAGATCTTATTTCGTACATTTTATTCAATCTAATAATATACCTCGATGATGAACATCAAAAATCATTTTGCATGTCAGTCGTAATAGCGCGAGCATTTCACTTGTAAACAATTCTAAAATGGATGCAGCAAACAAATAATATATTCATGCAATATATTACAAAATCTATAAACATAATCTCATGCAGCAAAAATTCAAACAAACTTTTTTTTTTCCAGTGAAACATAATAGCATCGAGCAATTTATTGAATGTCATAAGCATAAATGTGCATAAATGTTTTTTTTATTTCACATGTCTACCTCTCTCTTACTTGAACAACCGCTGAATTCCTTTTCAATATGGGATTGTTACCTCGTAATTTTTCTATAGTTGCTATATAATCTGATTTGATATCATTTAATGATAGATCAGTCTAGAAAAGTAAATAAATATTTTTTTTTAATTTATAAATAAATCTATACTTGAACATATTCTGGTACACATATTGGTCGTGTTGTAGTACGTTTCTGTGCTGATACACGCTCTTGATGAAGATCTTGTTTTATTTCATCCATCGCTTTTGTATGTTGTTTGATCATATCAGCAATTTTCTTTTGTAACGAAGAAATCGTTTGTTGATATTCATTTTCTTGTTTCGTATGTAATTGTCGTTCTTGATTCAACCTTGAAGGAAAGAAATTTTTCACTAATATCAAATTAAAAGAAAACATACGATTCGTTGGATTGTTCAAGTAATTTAACAAGATGATCAAGACGATTTTGTAAATTTTCTTGTCTATTTCTATTATCTTGTTCTAAAGTAACTTTTTCTCTAATTTTTGTAATATCGTCCGAATGATTTTTCTTTAATTGTTCAATTATTTGTTGTGTATCATTTAATTGTTGTTTTAATTGTTCGCAACGTGTTTGTAAACGTGTTTGTTCATGTTGAAATTCATTAATAACATTATTATATCCATCATCTAAATCTTTTTTCATAATTTGCATTTGTTTGGAATGTGTATCAATAAGTTTTGCTTGATTTTGATTTAATTCAATATTTTCACGATACAAACGATCAATTTCTGTTCGATACATTTTTTTAACTTCTTCTATGTCTTGTGCTGATGTATGAGATTGAATAATTGGTAGATTCGTTTTTTGTTTTTCAAAATCATTTGTTAATTGTTGTCGTAATTGTTGTAAATCATTCTGATGTTGTTTTTGATCACGTTCATAACGACGATTATATTCTTGTTCAAGATTTAATTTAATTTTTTCAATTTCTTGTTTTAAATGACTATCAGCAAGATTAAGTGCACGATTTGCTTCTTGTAAACGTTGTTCAAATTGATTTTTTTCGGTTTGAATCGATACAAACTTATCATGATATTCAATTTCTTTTTCCTAAAAACAGTGTTCAATTTTCTATGAAATATATATTATAAAATAACAACGATTTTCTTTCTTTATGCACTAATTTCATACATCTAGCTCACATGAATCCCTCTAGTTCATCGAGATATCATGGTTCTCGACACGGCATCTGAAGATCGACATCGAGCCTATTCCGCAGATATTGCATTGACCTTTAACCTCAGTATCGATCGACTGCGTAACTTACATAGCGATATGTACACCTCACTCAATCTTCGAAAAATCTCTTGAAAAGGTTGACTTATGTACTAGTTAAAGACTTTTGCACCTTACTGTAGATCAATTTTAATAAAGAATATTCTATCAAAAAGTTTCCTGTAACTTAAGAATTCTTATGATTGAAGACATCTAGAAGTGTATTTCTAGTCAGGTACCTGAAGATCTTTTAATTTTGTTTGATTCAATTCTAGAATTTGTTGTTCGCATTGTTCAATTTGTTTTTCTAAATCATGTATAATTTTATCATTTTGTATTTGACGTTCTTTATATTCTTGTAAATGTTTTTCTGTTTCATCAAAACGTATTTTAATTTGATTATATTCACTTTCTTTATTTGTTAATATATCTCTTGTTAATCTTAAATCCATTTTATTTGTATCACGTTGTTGAGTAATTTTTTGTAAATTTGTTTCTAATTTTAATCGATATTCTTCATATTGACTAACGGCATTTTCATAATTATGTATACGTGTTTGTAAATCATCAACATTTTGTTTTAAATCATTATCATTTTTATCGATATGTTGTCTTGATGAAAGATTTAATAAATCATATTTTTGTTTTTCAATTAATTCATTTAATTTTTGAATTTCATTCGAATATTT